TAATAAAAATGTTAAATATATATAAATGTATAATGTTATGAGATTTAAGGTATTTAGTCTAAACATTTGTTTTTGTTTTATAATTTGTGTTCATTCTAGAAAGAAAGAAGCATAATTCATATTTATTTCTTAATTTTTTATGGTAGTTACGAGATCGGTCAAATCTACAGAACCCATACAGAGATTCATTACTGAAAATAACAGATAAAATATAAAGTTTTTTTTTAAGAAACATTTGATAACTATCTGGACATTATTAAGATTTTGCATGTGAAATTTGAACATTTTCTGATGAATAAAAGTATTTTTAATCTTAAAACGAAAATTATTTTGCATGTTAGATAGGCAACATGCAAAAAGAAAAAAAAAGACGTGAGAAAAACATTGCTTTACAAACCTTAAGACTTAATAAAAAGAATTTGATATTGTATGTATGAAAGCATTGTAATGTTTACTGATAATCTGACAAATTTCGTTAACATTCGCTTACTAATTTAAAAGGTATAGCAAGAAAACTATAACAAGCACAAAAATGGTTATGAGGTCGGTCCCAGGGACCAAGCCTGTGCTGAAAGAGTTAACTCTCTACACGGACTCAGTTGAATTGACCGACCATGTGAACACTTTGTACTTTTTTAAAGTTGTTATAGTTCTTATGCTACTAACTTTTAATATAATATGTATATCTTCACAAAATTTAGCAGATTTTCAGTAAAAATTATAAGTCTTTCACATAAGGAAAATCAGAATTTTTAATAACCTAAAAAAAAGATTTGTCCGTGAATATATTGAGTCTTTTCCGAATGCAAAGTGATTTTCACGTTAAGATTTGCATAGCTCCTAAATACATTTCATTTGTTTTCAGTAAAACTTTATATTTTGTCTCTAATTTTCTCTATCCTGACTCTATAGAAGGTTGGTCAATTTGATCGACCTGCCCCCACCCCAAAAAATAGAATTTAAATAAATCTAAATTACCTTTTTTTTTCTTCTTTCTAGAATGACTTCAAATTGTAACATGAAACTACATTTGTTTATCCTAAAAAGCTTTAAACTCGTAACAGTATACATCTGTTTATACTTATATTTTATGTTTTATTGCCTTTTAATCCATGTCTAACTACTGTTATCGCCATTATGAGTTGTAAATCACTTGTGGAAAAATGGGGGCTTGCATTATTCTATCGAATTACCCACTAACTACTACTAGCTGCTTGTGTGCATGCCTCGTGAAATTTTATTTTATTATTATTATTATTATTATTAATTTTACCTAATCTAACGTAACTAACCTAAAGAGATTCCTATTTTTACATTTTAGTTACTTTTGTAATAATAAATAAAGAATACACATGAAAAACAAGAAATAAAGTACTTACCTGGGTCTTCTTTTTTTGCTGTCAGTGAGACTTATCCCAACTTTTTTATACTAATGGTAGTAATGCACTAAATAATTTTTATTTAATCAAATAATGCACCAAAGAACATAGAATAATAACATGCAAAAAGCAGACAATGTCCCATAACTATCACAGTTTTTCTAACTATGCGACAAGATCAATTACAAATTCACAACATATGTAACCTTTTAGGAAACAACAGAGCCAGTCAGAGGTGGAGATACAAGTGAATCTGGAACTGGACCTCAATTGGTAATTTGGGGTACAGATGTAGTTGTGAGCCATTGCAAAGAAAAGTTTAAACAATTTGTATCCCGTTATGTTGATCCAGAGCTTGAGTCAGATGAACGAATGGAAGGGATGGACATTGATAAACCTTTATATCTACAGAAGTTAGAAGAGGTAACAATTACTTCAAGGAAGCTAATTTATAACCTATTATGAAATGTTATTGTGCACAATGTGTGAATTAGTGGTGGGCATTATATTGGTATTTATGATAATCATTATCATATAGAAATTATCATTCATCACTCCAAAATGAATATTTGCATACAATGCAAAATGTGTTGTAATTTTAGTGATTTGTCTTTTCATTATACAAAGTCATTTGTAACCCAAATCAAACATATGTTGAGATATTTCATTTTGACAAATGTTATGATGTTTACTTTCTGACATGTCCATAACAATATAGCTTTTGTATTTGTGAAATGTACCAAGTTTCATCAATTTTACATATATTATCTGCCTACCATTGCTCATAATACTTGATGTGACATGCTTCTTGTTTCTCTCTACTTCCACACTGTAAATAAATGTCTCTAAATATATGTTAATGGGGAAGAATTAATGATATTATAGCTTTGTAACTTGCTTTAATATTTAAAGTGTATTTATATTCAATATGTTGGAAGTATTTAATATGCATTTGTTTTTTTCAAGCTTGTTTCTGTATCAGCTTATGTTTTGTGTATGTTTAAGTGAAGTGTTGCCTTAATTTTTTCTTATTTGATATAGTAAAAAAAAGTTTAAAGTTGAGTGAGAAATCTTTCTGCATGGAAATGAATCATAGTTTTGGTTTCAGAATTAACAAATTATCATGAAAACTGAAACACATGCAGGTATTCATACTTGGATAGAAGGGTAAAACATTTATATTGAATTTGCAGGTGTACACTCTTGAAGAACCATTCTTGAATGTGAACTGTACCCACTTGTCTCACTTTGATGCCGACCTCTGTCGGCAGTTAGTATGTTACCCTCAGGAAGTCATTCCTACATTTGATATGGCCATCAATGAAATGTTTTTTGAGAGGTATCCAGATGCTCAGCTTCCTCATCAAATTCAAGTTAGACCTTTCAATGCTGAAAAAACAAGAAATCTGAGAGGCCTCAACCCTGAAGGTTAGGCTTGTTTTATGAAAGAAACTTATTTTGCTTTATTTCTTTGTTAGCTTGTGAATGTAATTTTACATTAATATTGTAAAAACAATTGAGTACTTGCAGCACATTTTATAAATGTAACAATCATGTTTTTATTCATAATAGATACAGAGGGTGTTTTGCTTCATATAAACAAACACATATATAATGAATAGTAATACATAAAAAATATTTTGTGTTCCCTTATACTGATTAATAAATTTTCAGCAAAAATAATTGTCAGATTGAAATGGATCTCATCTATTACTTTGTCTGTTTCATTGTTGGGGCTTTGTTAGTTATTAAGCAAAGTTTATGTAAATGACATTTCTGAACTGAAACTGTTTCTTTACAGATATTGATCAGTTAATTACCATTAGTGGAATGGTTATTCGTACTTCCAACATCATCCCAGAAATGAGAGAGGCATTCTTTATGTGTAATGTGTGTTCTTTCTCAACAACTGTTGAAATTGATCGAGGACGTATTCCTGAGCCTACTGTATGTCGACATTGTAACACAAATTATTCTTTCAGCTTGATTCATAACCGTTCTCAATTCAGTGATAAGCAAATGATAAAGTTACAGGAATCACCAGGTAAAACAGTTCTATTATAGTAATAAATATTTTTAAAGAAATGAGATTTAAGTATTATATTTTCATTTGACTTAGTTTTAAGGTTAAAATTATATTTTAGTGAGAGGGAGAAAACATTCATAATTAGATGTGTGTCATTATGATATGAAATTTTACTAAGATACAATTAACTAACTTCAAACTGCTCTAACCAATGTGAAGGTAAAACTGTTGTAGTAAGGATACATTGTTAGCTTGTCAGCAGTTGAAGTAACAAAAGTGAAGAGCATTTGGCATTATATATAGTTTATTGAACAACTTTGAAATGTACATATCATGCAGTTCTGATTAAATCCAAGGTGTTCATGACTATCTTAAGTAAGATTGTACGAATCATAAAATTTTAAATTTATGATATAACAAGTGATTAGATTATATGGTGTCTAGTGTTGTACATTCTAATCACTCATGCAAGTTAGCATTTAAAAATTTTCAGATGACATGCCAGCTGGTCAGACCCCCCACACAGTTATTATTTATGCTCATAATGACCTTGTGGATGCTGTTCAGCCAGGTGACCGGTAAGTGTGCCTGTTTTGTTGTAATGCAAACTAATTTCTCTTGAATAGTATTATATAGACAAGTTTATATTACTGTGTGTAGATACCTGTTTAACTCTCTCTTTTGTACTCGTTTAAAGTTGATATAAATTTAATACTTATAACTCTCAATATATTGGGTATATCTTCATGAAATTCGACCGACCTCGTAACCACCAAAAAAAAATCTAAATAAACCTAAATTAACCCTTTTCTCTTTCTAGAATGACTTCAAATTGTAACATGAAACTACATTCGTTTATCCTAAGTAGCTCTAAGTTCGTAACATTATACATTTATTTATAATTAAATTTTATTGCCCCTTGAACTGGGGTGGGTGGGTGTGCAGGTCACGTTACGCTATCGAATTACATTACCCACGAGCTGCTTGCATGCATGCCTCATGAACCATTTTAATGACATTATTATTATTACTTATTTTACCTAATATAGTCTTGAATAACTTTAAAAGATCTGTACTTTTAATTTTAGTTACTTTTATAATAATAAATAAAGAATTAATATGAAAAACAAGAAATAAAGTACTTATCCAATCTTCTTTTTTCTTGCCCTTGATTGTCAAGGAGAGTTAAGCCTGATTTTTTATAGTAATTATAGTAAAGCACTTAACAATTTTTATTTAATTAAATAATGCACCAAAGAATATAGACTAATAATATGCAAAAAGTAAACAAATTCACTTTTCTCTCAAAAGTTTCCTGACTTCCTAACTATGCAACAAGAACCATTATAAATTCATCCAAGCTAGTTGTTAACTTTCCTCTGGGAAGTTGTTGCTACTCCGAGTGAAATTGACGATTATCTGTAAGAGAGAACTATTAACGAATTGTGAAAGAGTGGGTGTGGCAGGAGGGGGTGTGATTTTCTATTGAAGGCTATAAAAATTATGGTCTGTTTGAGCAATATTGATTTTATAGAGAGTATTTTATGTTTAATTTCATACATTTTCGAGGGGTGATGGATAAAATAAGAATGATGACATACTAAGACAATGTGTCACACTAGTGGAAATTCAGGATTATTTTAAATATTTCCTTGTAGAATTAAGGACATAAGACTTGTATACTATTAAAATATGGATTATTAGCTAAGATTTTATGCTATTCTAATTGGTATAACATAAACAAAAAGTAGTTTAATAAAGTTTTGAATGTAAGACACTAAAACCTTGTGTCATGTGCAGTGGAGGGTTACCCGGGGAGAGAGGGTTAACTCTCTCACCATGGGCATCCTTTACTGTGCATGTCATGAGGTTTTCAGTGAGTTACATTCAGAATTTAATTATACTACTTTTTGTTCCTATTATACCAATTATTAAAGCATAAAATTGTAACTAATAATCCATACCTTAATAGTACACAAGTTTTAAGTACATAAATTTTATAACGAAATATTTTTAAAAAATCCTCAATCTCACCCTAGTATGAGAATTGTGACGTTTCATCTCTAGGTATCCTCTTTTCTCTAATTTATTCACCACATCTCCAATAACTACGAAATTTAATATAAATTACTCATTGTTATCACTCTGGCAAGGCATAATTTTCATAGCCTTCAATCTTGTTTGGTTACAGAGCCATCAAATAGAAAATCAGATCCCTCTTGCTACACCTGTCTGTCACATCCTCTTTTTCAGGATTTGTTAATAATTCTCTTTGAAGTTTAATACTGTGTTATATATAACCAATAGAAAGCCAAGATATTCATCTGTCAAATGATGTATTATATTACATTGTTTTCTCTTTTTCAGTTCAAGCTTTATTCCCATGGAAAACATATAGACTAGCTTGGATGAATTTGTGACAGCTCTTGTCACATAGTTAGAAAGCCAGATAAACTGTGATAGTTATGGGACATTATCTGCTTTTTGTATGTTATTATTCTATGTTTTTTTGGTGCATTACTTAATTAAATATAAATCATTTAGTGCATTTCTACCATTAGTTTAAAAAAATTTAGTTAAGTTTCGACAATAGCAAAGAAAAA